ACTACAATATGATTATCAAAAATAAAAATAAAATTCAAATTATGCTTAGGGTTTCTAACATTGGGGAAATGCTTAAACATGGGGTAGATTTTTTAAACAATTAAATGTGAATTTCCAATCAGAAATTTAATGAAAAAAGATAAATAATAAAAAGAAAATAAAAGAAGATGAGATAAGAAGTATTACACAAGCGTTAACATCGAAAATGATGATAATAATTGGTAAAGTAAAGCGACGAATCAGATATAGACACCTGGCGAATATACGAACGATTTACCAATAGATGATTGGTTGTAATTTATTTTATCACCAACATAGAAAGGAAAACGTTAATTGCATTAATATTTTCTATAAATTCATGAATGTGTGTGGGAAAATTGACAAAAATGGTAGAACTAAATTTGATTAATAAGTCGTGATTAATGGAATAAAATAAATAAATAAAAATGGTAGAATATCTTGAGAAAAAAGGCTCGTTAAGTCTCCAATCTAAGTGTCAACTTTCTCTTTTTCTTTCTTTTCTTTATAATAAATTCTACTTGTACTACTGAGTGTTTTTATTATTATTATTAATTAAGGGTAAATACTTCTTTTCCCCTGTGGTAAAAGAAATTACATTGGAACCCCATTATTTGAAAAAAATGACACTTAGCTCCGCTGTTGTGAATTGACCATGTTTGATTAAAAAGACAAAATCGCTTGTTCTGTTTTCTTTAAATCATGAAAATAACTTTTATTGTCAACTACATTTCTTCTTCCAAAGAAACTTTCTAAATTTGAAGTGTGGACGTTCGTCGTCGAGAGGAACACCGGTTCTCTGAATCTGGATGCGTCGAGAATAAGATTTTTTTCCTGGTCGTTACATGAGCAAGAACAGCCTATTTGGTGATGAAATCTTTTTGATAAAACAATTATCTTTTATTAATAATTTGACTAAGAATAATTCGGGTGTATGCAGTTTGATGCTTTACAATTACAACAAATATTAAACTTATAAAACATAATTATGGTTTTTTTTTTTTTTTTTTAGGGTCCAAGATATAATTTTTAATAAAAAATCCAATATTGTAAAAATTAATTTATGGATTTAATTTTAAAATCAATAGAATGGGCCTAACCTAAGGTGTGGTGGCAAAGCAATAGCAACTTCAGTTTTAGGGCTTCATTCTGGTTGGGCCGCATAGTACTTTTATATAAATATATTTACTTTATTAATATAATATAACTATATTTTTTTAAATAACTAAACGTCCGTTTGTTTTATTATTTTGGATAGGATTTTGGGATATATATTAATAGATGAATATGGGAGTATTACGAGATAAAATTTAAAAATTATATAAAAAAACCCGTAGATTCGCAATTTACTAAACACCCTAATATATAAAAATTTTGTAAAATGAATAAAACACTCCTACCACCCGCACAGTCGGAATCTGGTCGAAAATGTATTACTATAAATCGATCGGATCTGACGAGTAGGACGTGATATGACCTTTTTCGATCAGATTCACCAGTATCTAGTCTGACTGTCACCTGTCACAAATGTCTCGTCAGTTTAGGGCTTTATCTAGTTGGGCCGCATAGTATTTTATATCAATTATTTACTTTATTAAATAGAATATAAGTATATTTTTTTAAATAACTAAGTGGCCGGACCACCGCCGTGGTAAGGTAAATCATAGTAAAGGTTAAAAAAGAATATTTCTCAAAAGGTTAAATTGGAGTCAAATTAGATACCCTTTTGGGTCCGGCAAACAAATATATGGTGGATGTTCTCCTTGCTGGCTTCAAGTTATAACAATTGCCCCCCTAATCAAATTCCAAAAATTGACCATTCCCAAATATTTCCAAAGTTAAATTCCTCCAAAAACCATCTCAAAGCATTATTTTTCTAATTTCGGAACGTCGGATTTAAGTTTGAATTTTAGGTCCGAATTTGAAGTCCATATTCCATTTATCTTCTGTGCATATAAGCATAGAAGATAATAGATTTCCCTGTAGGAGACGTTGACATTCAATGATTCCAGCAAACAAGTGCCCATTTTCCCTAAATTTGTCTCTCTAAAACAAAGCAGTACCCTGTAAGCTCCATGTTAGTCTGGTCCACCTGAGTTTTCCTTTATAATTTCCCCATGACATTCCTATCTCGCCAGTTTCACCCGTTAGATTGACATCTAAAAATGAAAAGGACGATGAATTCTACTTGCTACATAACAGGAACAAAATGGGATGACAAAATTACAGAATTCACTGATAAAACCTACAAGTCTAGCTAAAACCGCGCAGATGGTAACTGAAGAACATATAACAAACATAGTGATAAAAGGGAGATAGAGGGAACCGGAAGATTGATCGATGAAGACTGATTCGAAATATCAAAAGAATCAACCGGCGAGAGGCATTCCATCACTGCTAAGAGTGCAAGATTGAGGATCAGAGCCATCGTGTCATCATCATAGCGCGTATGACCGCTGAAACAGTGTGAATGTAGGCAGTTCGGTTCTTGGCAAGCAGCCAAGTGAGCCCCATTAGTTGATATGTTCTTTTAATTTTAGTGTTTTTAAATTAGTGTTAATTTTTATTTTGAGTTATTGTAGTTTAATATTTGCATTGAATAAAGTTCTATTTTTAATTTTTCATCATTTTTTAAATTATATCATTATTATAAATAATAATCAAATTAAATTAAATACAAATACTCAAATTTGGTGTGATTTTTGGTGTAAAATTTAATACTCATATTAACTTAACAAAATTAAAAAAAATCAAAAAAATCAAAATTAAAAAATATATATTTTTTTTTATTTCTGCTACAGTGCTGCGCCATTTTGGCGCAGTGTTTGGCGTGGGTTGGAGTACCAACCCACGCCAATTTGGTGTTTTTTGCACCATTTTAGCGTGGGTTGGAGATGCCCTTACAAATGATTGTACAAGAGAGAGAATGCTATATATTTTTGAGAGAGAGTAGCTAATAAAGAGTAGAATGAGTGAATCCCACAAACGAGAGAAGAGCTTTCAATTTATAGTGGGATGGATTAAGGTTATCATAACTAAATCTACGAGTTGGTGGGATTATCTGTGCAAATCCTTCTTTATGTCACATTGCCCACCTTCTAGAGTGATTTACGCGATTTGGTGTAGGGATTGGACACGTGGAATCACTATAGCTTCTGGCTGGTCTGGCATGCACTCACTTTACTGACAGGAGTGTGCCGCTCCTATCAACACGCGACGTGGCTGCTTCCAACTGGCTGCGGGCCTACCTAAGCTCTAACTTTTTATGCTGATTGAGTCTTGTGTCAGTCCTATATTTTCAGGCATAACAATTCATAATCCAAGCCTCTCTGTCATATTTCATTTATAATGTTGTCCAATTTATTTCTCTCTCAAGCATGAAGCTCGGATATAAGATTGGGAACATTGCACGTCTAATGTTAAACATACAAAGATAAGTAGTACAGGCATAGATTCAATGGAAGTTCGCAGAGTTTTACATATTAGTGCATTCTTATAGCAGTAGCTTTCTTCGTTTTACAAAAATAATACAATTAATTATGTATCCACTGAGAAATAAACATGATTAGTTGTTGGTGATCTCGTGCATGAGAACCGGACCATTTGAGCTAATATAAAACTAAGCAACATGCACTTCATCATCCTTTCATATGCAATATTATGTTATCAGTGCGCTGCATATTTACGTTTAGAACTTCACATAGATAACTGCACAGATAGAATATGAGCAGCTTAAAATGAGTTATAATTATGGAAACACCTCGAGTTCTTCAGAGATGACAGAAACTTGGATCGTTGAATACTTCATAAATGATAATTGCAGATATGGTACGGCTCTCTCTTTCGGCCTTTACTCCATGAACAAAAGACTAAAAGATAGTGATTTATACGCTTGGACTCAGAAAGTAATTCTCTTAGTTTCTACAAATTGATCAGTTAAATCAAGGGGAAACATATTTATATAGCAAGGCTTAATTAACAGGTTTAATTTGTGGCTAGATCCTATAGTGTTGGTAGTTGGCTCAGTTGTCGAGGATTATAAGGTAGTTCTTACTCGGGGATCGAAATGAAAAAAACTCTAAACCTTTGCCTAAGTATTTGGGATATGGCAGTGGTCCTTGGAGGATAGAAATATTTATATATAGTTAGATTTTATATATATTTATTGATGTAATTAGAACTTGAAGTTCATTTAAGTTAGTTATAATTAAGTAGTTAGTCCAGCCATCAGCATTATATTCTATGGTCCAAGTGAGCAGAATCTATTTATAGATTTCGTCTCATTTCTGAGAATCTCCTTTTTCTGATAACTCCTTCACTATCAGTTATATACTAAAATCAACTGTTGAAGGTAAGATGCGAAATTGGACAGACCGGCCCGTACCCAGGTGCTCCTGTTACACGGGCCAGGTAAGATTACCCGATCTGGATCATGTGTTTATCCCAGGCCCGCCTCGCCCGGGCATGTTGTGAGTGGACTCGGGGTTATGTTCCTACTTCCCAGGCTTAAGATGTTGATGTTATTCACTACCTTAATCCGCAATTTCCAAGAGTATATTTCTTAGTCTTGTTGTCATCAACAAGTGGGATGTGATGTTACCGATGTATATGATACTCATCAATAATATATTGATTTTATATATATATATATATATATATATAAAATCAATATATTATTGATGAGTATCATATACATCGGTAACTTATATATATAAAATCAAAATTTTTGAGTCAGTATAGACATCTTTAATTCTTAGTCTTTATCAACCTATCATCACAGTCTTTCATTTAAATTATGAATGCTCAGACAGGAATCAAACTTAAAAGCATATATCTAATATGTCTAATATCACTAAGTACTAGTTAGAAAATTTCTTTGGATTCAGCGTCATTTAAAGCAAGAAATTTAATTAGAAAGAAGATTTTAAGATGAAACAAAGACACATAACGATGGATTTTGTATTGAAAAGACACAGAAACTGCAGCTTACATGAACTTTGCAAAGGCAACAAACGGCTTTAACATTAACTAGACACGTCACGGCTTGCACTAATAATAAAAACTAATTAAAACGACAACACTTGGAAGCCACTAGGCCACTCCACAACTCTCTGGCTGCCTCCATCGCTGACTCTAACTTGTCTTCCTGTACTACTTCTCCGTGCATGCTCAACGCCTACGGCTTGCTGGCTCCTTCTGAGAGTTAAAGTAAATAGTAGCCACAGGGAGACCCAGATCCAAATGCCTTGCAAAAAGCCGAGTGTTGAAGTTTGCACGAGACGCTGGCTGCTCCACCACCCCTAATGGAGCCTTCTGCTGAAACAGCACCATGATGAAGCGATGAATGCCAACTGGAGGACGTGGACCCACGTATGGCAGAATCTCTTTCCCTGCAACATTCATTCAACCCACTTCATTAAAACTACGTACATTAGCTAAATCAATATTCTAAAAGTATCATTTAATAGTTTGGAATCTAAGGCTGCAGTCTGAATGATGGACAAGTGGAGAGATATGAGATAGACATGTGGTTTCAAGAACACTAATCAACTAAGGAGATGATACAGATGGAGTCACAAGTGGGCAGGCTATCATCGACATGGGTGATACCTGTTGCTTCCAGAATCAAACACGTGCCAACATGCCGTGGTTTTGCATACAAAATTAAAAGTAAAACCCACCCAAGAAGAAAACGCATCCGTTACATTAATTAATAATGGGGAAATCGAATGAAAGAGAAGAAAGTGTGTCTGTATATGCACAAAGAATCGGAAAGAAAAGCTTTTATCATGTACACAGGTACGTAACACAAAATTTTGCATTTGAGAAAACAGAAAACAAGAATAGGGTTAATGAGCTAAACATTTTGTTTCTCCATGAACATGAAAGCATACTCGTACCACGTGCCCAAGGGAATAGAGAATTAATAGTTGTGTTGTATCGATCATTTGGGAAATGTTGCGGCGATGGACAAATGTTAGAGTAGTATTTGGTGTTGGCGTAATTCAAGAAAACATGTATGCTCATGATCATCCTGATGTGATGTGATGTAACCCTAAAGAATTTCTCAAAAAATTATCACATTCATGCTCCATTTTGCCGCGTACTATGTAGAGTGGACACTGAGAACAGTTCTAAAGGCTTTATCAGTGTCAAAATCAATGTCCAGCTATAACGAGCTCTTATTTTAACTACATGAACTTCGAAAAAGATATCTTGAAATCTTATTTAACACATGTATGCATGCAGCCAGCAAAATCGAAAGAAATATTTAATTTTCTGGAGGTAATTTTGTTTTTCTGGCCATGCATGCAGATGAAAATATTAATATTTGATCATCAGATCATAGCATTTAATTTACTGCCCCATTTTTCACCTTTGGTTGGGTTAGTGCCACCAGGAATGTCCACGGCGATCCTGAAAACACAAACAAGATTGCATGAATGAAGAGAATAATTAAACACCAACAGAGAAGAAGTAAATTAATTAATTAAGTTGGCGCGTTGGAGGAACAAAATTTTCTGACCAGTGAACCCATTCTCGCATGCTGGGTTCGCTGGGGCTGGGTGCGTCTGGATCAATCATCACCTACAGCAAACAATTAAACATCATTAATCTTCATAATATCGCCATGCATGAAGTTATATAAAAATATATATACACAAAAGAGTTTGAATGGAGAGCAAACCAGAGCATAAAGCTCATCAGAATGGCCAGTGATAGTGATCTTAGGGGGATTGATAGCCATGGATGGCTTGATGTCACACCCATTAGTCACATGCTTAGCGCCATAGTAAACAGACATGTTCACACTCGGAACAAACATGTCAACAACATCACCAATAACCCTTCCAACAACAAGAGGGTCAACAGAAACAGCCATTGCCAACCCACAAACAAGAAGAAAAAGAAGAAGAAGAAATTGAAATTGGTGTGAGTTTGAAGTGAAGAATGGTAGGGTTTATATAGCGCAGTAAGAGGAAAGAGGGGGTGGTGGATTAGTGTAACCTATAGGACATGCATAGGGCATAAAAAAGTTGATGAAAGCAGAGAAGGACACGTGTGGAAACCCGCCTGAGAAAAAGCCACCATCGTTTTGTTTCATTGTAACAGATGGATTGCATCAACGCCGTCGGTTACAAAAACACCACGTTACAAATATTGTAAAAGCTCCATTTCAGCATTCAAATCATGATAGGCATCAATTCAAATAGAGACAAACAACTTCGCTGGGTCCAATGCAGAATCAACGGCTACTAATGGAGCTGTTTGGTAGTAAAATTAGACCAAAAAGTAGTGGAAAAACCCCCTAAATCCTCACATGCTAGTGGTTTTATCAAATTTTGAAGGGTTATTTATGAGGAAATGGAGAAACCAGAGAGGATGATTACGTGTGAGATTCTTTTTACATGAGTTAGTGTGTAAAATGCATGTAGACAACTCAGTGTGAATTGTGCTGACAGCCGTTAGTTTTGTAGTGATCAAAAAGTTTAGTGTATGACAAATTAGACAAGAGCAAATGACGTAAGAACACATGTAAAAGATGAAAAGGAGTTGGTGTACCTAATCTTTTCCGTTTGTTCTGTGGATGTATTCTTGTGTGGGCAGACATATGAAGGTGTTCGACTCAAAGTTTATATGTTTCCATTGAAAGCCTGCCATTTGACTGCATATATATGGAGAGGGCATGCATTTGATGAAGTTCTAGCTTATAATTAAGGATGTTTTTGCGACGAATGGTAGGAGTATACACATTAATTTAGGTGAAGCATGCATGTTTGTGATGATCAAACCCAAAAATAAAATTGCGAGGTTGAAAGAAGGACATGTATTTAACCTTTCTCGTTGTGGTCGAATAGCAAACCTTTTAGTTACTCGGGTTAACTATACTCAATAGTGTTGTGTTCGAATAATAGAAGAGACACCTACCACATAATGATTGATTTTATGTGATATGAACATGATTGCACTCGATTTGTTCGATCAAGTCTAATGCCTTAGAAATTATGTTTAAAATCATCTATTAATTTATTATTAGGTGGATCATAGAAAATAGAGATGTGAAAAGGAAGAATATTATAGACTACCCTTAAAGTTTTCAAATTTATTATTGGGAGAACAATTTTCACACTTTTTTTATTAAATAGGCCCTCAAAGTTTGAATAATGTATTATTGATACCCGTTTGTCTTATTAAATGAACACTCAAAATTTAAAAACTCTATCACTGATACCCATTTGCCCTAATTTCATTACATCATCGCTGAGTTTACAAAACACTTTCTTACAATACCAAAGTTATATTTTACCCCAACACTTTTTTATAAAACCAAAAGTCACCATTTTACCTATGTAGCACACTGATGGCGAAAGGGTATAAATGATACAATTTTTAAACTTTGAGAGCCTATTTGATTAAAAATGCAACATTTATCATTCCAATGATAAATTTGGAAACATTAAAGATAGTCTTATGAGATTCTTCCGGCTGAAAATGATCTTACTGACCTGTCATTTCACTTCATTTTTGTTTTTGAAAGCTTCACATGTCGATTTGGGTTGGCAATTAGGAAATCTGTCAAGCAACAAATAAAGAAATAAACATCTATTATATATATATATATATATATATACCTACAAAAGAAACGAGGATGAAATTCTTATACTTGCAACTTCATGAAAGGATAAAGAGCATGCTGCTTCATTATAAACGAGAAATTTGCCGTCATCATACTAATCTGTTAGTTCTAAAATTAACCAAACTACAGTTTTTTCTAATTCTTGTTTTTATTTCTATTTATATTTTCTATGCAAGGTGAGAGCAAACAAGAAGAATTATGATCAAACAGCTATGAGAGAACAAAATGCAGCTTCAGACAAATTGAATTATGTGGTTGAGGTGGTTCTCTTTCAAGTGTTGAATAGGAAGTGTATGATGGTGGTGTTTGTGGAGAATGTGCAGGTTGCTGTGTATATGAGTCACATAGGAAATTTGTTGTTGAGATATTGGAGAGGTTACTGGAGGTATATATATAGGTTCAGAAGAAGCAAATGTGTGAGCTAGAATAATGCTTATGAATCGGAACTGCGGGATCATGTACTGAAGGGGCATGGTAATTGAAGATAATTAATTTAACTTTGCTGAGATTTATTTCAATGCAAATGATATTCACTGTTTTTTTATTTCTTCTAATCTATACATGAATACAACCTATATTGTATAAAGATATCACATTATCACATTATCACTTCATCCATTTTGTTCATTCTGTATTATGCCTCAAGAGTGTTGGATCTTGGGTGTTACTGCGATAACTCACTCCCACAAAAACACCTCATACTATCTGATAATGGAATTCTATAAATACTGATAGTAATACCAGATATATGAATTGTAACTGGGATATTATCCTGCACGTATTACCTTGAAATCAGCTAGAAGTGAAATCTTTCTACATGAACAATCAATGACCACTCTACTGAACATGGAGATTCAAACACCCCACCTATCTCTTCCATTTAACATTTCTGCATACCAAGAATCTAATGGACACTGAAACAAAATGGTATAACTATGCATTCAACCACATCATAAACAATTAGATTCCAATAACATTTTGATATGCAAATAAAATCAATAAAAAATCATTAATCTCTTAATTTCCTCACACTCTAAAAACTTATTAAGAAAATTAAAATACCTTCTTAATTTGATAAAAAAAATATCTAATTTAATTAATCTATATCTATCTCCAAAAGATTAAATTTAAAAGATGGAAGAAAACTACCAGAGATTTAATGACCGATGATCCTGAACTCCCGAACAAAATTACAGTGCAATGTAACACGAACAACATCAACACAAGTTGTGGTTTGTACCAACCATCTATCATTATCTGACTTTATTAGCTTAACTACAATATGATTAGGGTTTCTAACATTGGGGAAATGCTTAGAACATGGGGTAGATTTTTTTAAACAATTAAGTGTGAATTTCCAATCAGAAATTTTAATAGAAAAAAGAAAAAATAAATTAAGAAAGTAAAAGAAAGATGAGATAAGAAGTATTACACAAGCGTTAACATCGAAAATGATGATAATAATTGGTAAAGTAATAGCGACGGATACAGATACAGACATCTGGCGAATATACGAACGATTTACTAATAGATGATTGGTTGTAATTTATTTTATACACCGACATAGAAAGGAAACTAGTTAATTGCATTAATATTTTCTTATAAATTCATGAATGTGTGTGGGAAAATTGACAAAAATGGTAGAACTAATTATTTGATTAAATAAGTCGTAATTAATGGAATAAAATAAATAAATAAAAAATGGTAGAATATCTTGAGAAAAAAGGCTCGTTAAGTCTCTCAATCTAAGTGTCAACTTTCTCTTTTTCTTTCTTTTCTTTTAATAAAATTCTACTTGTACTACTGAGTGTTTTTTTTTATTATTATTATTAATTAAGAGGTAAATATATCTTTTCCCCTGTGGTAAAAAGAAACTACATTGGAACCCCATGATTTGAAAAAATGACACTTAGCTCCGCTGTCTTGAATTGACCATATTTGATTATTAAAAAGACAAAATCGCTTGTTCTGTTTTCTTTAAATCATGAAAATAACTCCTTTATTGTCAAGTACATTTCTTCTTCCAAATAAACTTTCTGAATTTGAAGTGTCTGGACGTTCGTCGAGAGGAACACCGGTTCTCTAAATCTGGATGCGTCGAGAATAAGATTTTTTTCCTGGTCGTTACATGAGCAAGAACAGTCTATTTGGTGATGAAATCTTTTTACTAAAACGATTATCTTTTTATTAATAATTTGACTAAGAATAATTCGGTGTATGCAGTTTGATAGCCTTTACAATTACAAACATATATTAAACTTGTAAAACATAATTATGGTTTTTTTATTATTTAGGGTCCAAGATATAATTTTTAATAAAATACTAATATTGTAAAAATCAATTTATGGATTTAATTTTATAAATCGCATAGAATGGGCCTAACCTAAGGTGCGGTGGCAATAGCAACTTCAGTTTTAGGGCTTCATTCTAGTTGGGCCGCATAGTACTTTTTTATAAATATATTTACTTTATTAAATAGTATATAAGTATATTTTTTTAAAGAGTAAACGAAATATTCCCACCCAAGGTTTGATAAAATTATAGTTGGTACCCCAAGTTTTATTTATTCCAATTCCCACCCTTAAAATAACACTGTTAACAATTTTCAGGGTAGTAAGGGTTCAATTACCATAATGCCCTTAACCCTAAATTAATAAATTATGTTTTAACCCCTAAATTACTAAAATTATAAATTAACCATCTTATTTTGAAATTACTTCAATTACACCCTCAGTGACTACGCACTGTCTCGGTTTTCACTGGATCTGGGTTGTTTCCGATGGCGGCAAAAGCCCCGGTCACCTCCATCACCTTCCCCATCGTCCGTCATCCAAAACCCCTCTGGTTCTCTACTCATTGGGCCCTCCAATCGCCGGCACCGTTAAGCTTAGGTTTTCGTCTTTCTTCGCTGGATTCCGATCGATTCCGGCGACAAAAATGCAATTGGACATCACCATTGCAACCAGCATCTCCAAATCTACGAAACCCCTATGTCCCCAGCAACCATTTAGTGGCCATTCGCCGGTGGAGAGCGACGAAAACCAGTCACATGTGGCGGCTGTCGTGGCTAGCGATCGGCTAGTGATGACGGGTTGTGAAGGGTACGATTTTGTAGAGGGGAGGATGAGGGTTCGAATGGTGGTGACAAGGGTGATTTTGGGTGGAAGAATCGCCGAAAAGGGCGAAAAACGTCATTGGTGATGTTGGCTAAGGGTGTTCAGTTTCGGGTACCCTACACTTTTTGAAGGAATCGGAACCGACGGTTCCTTGAAATTTGGA